AAAGAAAATTGCCTAGATTGGTATTATGGCTTTGCAATGATTTACTTTTATATATGGAAGTTTTTTTAATAGAGTGCTCATTTTTGTTATTGTTTTATTGAAAAATTATATAAATTATATAAATATAAAGATCTGGTAATTTGGAAGATTTAATATAATCAAATCAAATTTGCAAGTTAGGATTAAAATATTTTAATAATTATTAATAATTAAAAAATATAATTAATAATTAATAATTAAATAATTAAATATATTTAATTAAATAAAAAATATATATATTATTTAAATATATTTATTTAAATAAAAATATAAATAATAATTAAATAAATATTATAATAATTATTAATAAATTATCATTTCATATTATCAAAATACATGAATATTATGTACAATATATTTTACATCAACTGTTGACTGAAATTTAGTATAGCGCCAACATAGAATTAAAAAAAAAAAAAGAATTTGACATGCGAATAAAAAAAATGACACCAATTTTTTACCATATGTGTTACATTACCATTGTGCAAACTGGTTAAACATTATCATTAAGGACTGCGAAATCGAGTGTTCTGTTTTCTCCTTCATTTTTCCGTTATGCATCAAATCGTGCATGAAATCGAGACTATCGAGTTTTCGTATATATAAATGTATATACTATGATCACAACAAGTATTTGCATATTGTTATACTTATTATAACATTTACATGCTAATTAACTAAATCAACGTATATTGAATAATACTTTCATATTAATTGAATTTGATGATTATAAAAATGAAGTAATAATATTTAAGAAATAATATATATACTTTATATTTTTGTGCTGTTATATAGATATATATAAGAATGTTGATTTACTACAAAAATAGAGAACTAGATAAATAAATTAATCAATGTAAAAAAAATTTAATTTGTAAAAATGATATTAAATATATAGGGTATTGATATTACTATCAAATTAATCTAAATAATTTCAAATTCTTTGCCTTCGTAAATCCATTTAAGTCAATATCGATTTTTATTCAGTCAGAAATATACATTTAATCATTTTTAAAGATAATTGTATGTATTAATTCCAATAATTGTTCTGCAATAGATTTAATTACATATATATTATATGGATAATTAATCTAAAAATTAAAGAAATAAATTAAATTTTGAAACAAATTTTATATATCATATTTTTACTTGTTTCAGTCAAACTTTCAATGAATGTCAGCAGCACACCTCACATCGACAGGATGTCGAATATCTACAACAACTCAATGGTTCGATTTTACCATCATGTGTTCTACGATCTATCCGGTGGGAAATAATTCTCCAATTTTTTTTTCTTTCGAAATTTTATATGTATTCTAATTCTTTGATTTTTTGATTTTTCAGATCCTCGAACAAGAGATTGGTTCCTCATACCATCACCCGTACCTGGAACTAGCATCTTAATCGGTTATTTGTACTTTATCCTGTCATGGGGTCCAAAGCACATGCAGCATAGGAAACCATATCAATTAAAGAATATTCTAGTCTGTTACAATTTCTTACAAGTACTTCTCAGCTTCTGGCTGTTCTACGAAGGCTTGGACGCAGCTTGGCTGCGAAAATATAGTTGGAAATGCCAATCCGTCGATTATTCGAATTCACCGGAAGCACTCAGGGTATCGTCATTTCCTTTTTATTTTTTCTATTCGTTCTATAATTTTTTATCTAACTTCATTCAATCCTGCAATAACATTAACAGATTATACGATATATTTTTTTACTTATTAATTTTATTACTCGTAAATTAATAATAAATTTATAATAGTAAAATTATTACTTAATATTATTATATTAATATAAATTTATTGCTCGATTTTTTATTTATATTTTCGTTATTGCATTGCAAAATTATATATAGAATTTTTATTTTAATTTCCTTTTAAATATATCTGATAAGGAATATGAAAAAAATCAATAATTGAAGGAGAGATGATCTAAAATTGAGTCGAAAGAGTAGAATAAAATTTTTTTATGATATGAGCTTTCGTTTTCGAGAAAATGAGATTTGAAAATTCGAGCTTGGGTGCATCCAAGAGATATTTATTTATCAAGAATCGTTTTTTTTTTTGATTCCATCATGATTTCGGAATTTCTTGTATATTTGCTTGGGGATTGTCACGCATTTTTTCTGAAGAAGAATTGAGCTATATTTAATAATAATAGAAATAGAGATTAAAATGATTTTGTTGATAGATCGAAAGAATTAATTTCGTACAAGCAATATTTAATTTTATATAAATTTTTTAATTATTTTGTAATTTATTATAGGTCGCTAGAGGCGTGTATATTTATTTTCTAGCAAAGCTTTCGGAACTTTTAGACACAGTATTCTTCGTTCTAAGGAAAAAAGAAAATCAAATTACGTTTCTCCATTTATATCATCATACTGTTATGCCAATGGTTTCGTGGGGTGCCACTAAGTATTATCCGGGTGGACATGGCACGTTTATAGGTATGTACAATTTATATTTTCTCTGGTATTATCTTCGATTCAATAATATCCGTATTTTTTTTCAGGTGTCATTAACAGTTTCGTGCACATAATTATGTACACGTATTATTTATTGGCTGCTTTATTACCTCAATACCAAAAGTACCTATGGTGGAAGAAATATATTACAACTCTTCAAATGGTGAAATTTATTATCATATTTATTCTTTAATGCCAATTGTGTATCAATATTTTTTAATTTTTTTGAGTATATTTGTAAATATTACACAATGGCGCGTATGATAGATATATAGAACCATTTTTATCTTATTTTGTTTAATGCAAATTCACATTACTAATAATTAAATCAATTGCCTTAATTGCTTACATATTTTTATATACTGATTTCTGTGTTTTGGTGTCTAGAAACAATAATTATATATAAAAATATATCGTATTAACATTCTATATAAAAAAATAATCTTACATTATATCTAAATATTAACAAGAATCATTGTATAACAACCAAATTAAAATTTTTCTTTTATGTCAAATAGGGTCAATTCTGCCTAGCATTTCTGCATAGTTGTCAATTGCTGTTTTATGACTGCGACTATCCAAAGTGGTCGCTCATCTTAATTCTACCCAACGCGGTATTCTTCTACTTCCTGTTCTCTGATTTCTACAATAACGCATACAAATCCAATGAGAAACATTCAAAACTTATACAAGACAAGGAGACCAAGATAGCAAAGACAGTGTCAAATGGAAGCATGCAATACGAAAGAAGAAAAGTTGATTAGGCTGGAAAGAAGAAACATGAATATAAAAAATCGAAATATCGCCATTTATCGAAATATCGAATTAATTAAATTCAGACAAAATAATCAAACATTTAAGATGTTTGAAATTGTTGATGTTTGTTGATAATGACTGTGCTTCTAGTGTGTTTCTGATGTATTATGACGTCAGTGGATTAATTATACATTGTCAATTCCATTATTTGAAAATATTTTTTGCTTCTACAAGAGAGGTCAAAGGAATGAATTTGTTTCGTTTTCTATTTATTTTATATAGAAAATATAAGAAATATTTGTTTATGAAAGATAGTTTCTCCTTAATTATTTGCAAATTATCATCGAATAAATATTTGAACTCGCACATTAATTATATTGAGATAGTGGAAATGTTACATCAATTTTTAATTCTAACATGAACAATTTTAAATAATTCATATGCTATTATTTATAAATTTTTTTTATAAATGTGGTATTCTATATTCTATGAAATATTTTACTTTTATCTAAATTTAAATATAAAATATTGTATTATATGTAACAATAATATTATTAATATTGTAATATATTAAATATATAATGTATTCTTTTGAAATTAATTATGTAAATTAAGTAGTTATTACAATTGAATATAAGAACATAATTTCTGAAATTCATGTTATATGAATATTCTATTATACTCTCTTTTGTTTTCTCTTTCACAGAAGCAATATTTTTTTGCTGCCAACTCAAAAATAATTATAATAATTATTTAAAACCATAAATATCCGTGAAAATTATTTAAATGTTTTATAAATTAATATAGAAAATAGCGTTTAATGATTACTAAATGAAAATTACATTATAGATATTAAATTACAAATGTATATAGTAAACTGGAATTTATAAAACGATTTGGAAATCTCGTTTATTTCAATTAATTTTCATTAGCGAAATTCATAATTTCATAGTTATTTATCAATTTTAATTATCAAATCCTTGTATTTGTTTAAATAATAAACAGTGGTAAAAATCAAAAATTATTCTTTCATAATGTCTAAATTTCTATTGTTTATACAAAGCTTTCAAATTATTTTTATCTTATGATACACACAAATTATTCTATACAATATATATTATTTCTGATAAAAAAGTATAGATTTCTAATTGATTTATAAAAAAAGATAGAAAAATAATATTTTTTTTTATTTGTATTGCAAAGTATAAATAAAATAAGTATAAAAAAATATTTAATAACATATAAAAAAGAATTGTGTATTCCAATTTCCATATATTATAAATAAAAAAATATGTGAAAAATATATCACAATTCAAATAAAAAATTTTATTTATGATGTTTTTAAAAAAAAAAAATATTCAAAATTATTTTCTTTTAATTTATATGCAAAAATCTTAAATATATTGATTGAAAATTATTGGCATACTTTCAATTATTAAAAATTTTTAAATTATACAAATAATGATTTTTCACTCTTATATCATATAATATAATATACATATAATGTTTAAATAATATAATTTACCATTAATTATACTATTATTTAATCTTTTACTATCATAATATACTTATCTTATAAAATATCTTATGTATGTAAATATTTAATAATATATAGTATAACACAAAGACAATCAAATATTCTTATTTCAAGTGTATATTCGAAAATTAAAAATACATATCAATTATTTCTGATTAATCATCTACTGCAGTAATATCGTTTCTCACAATCGAGAAGGTTAGGTTATCAAATTATGGCCAACTTTCTTTAACTTGTATAAAATAATTCTTGAAGAGAAATGGATTTGAAATTTCCTTACAATTCATGATCTTATAGCAAAAAGAAATACATTCATTTTTGAGTTATTATATATTTAACGAATATATAAATATATATTAATAATTATTAACCTTTTGTTCACTACAGTATATCACTTTCCAAGATTTAATCCAAAATTTAATTCTGTAATATATAATCAAATACAATAATTTTCGATTAATTGTCGCATTTCTCGATTCTGCATAAAATTGTCTCTTATTTTTCTTAATCCTGATTGTTATCATTGGATCTGTCTTCCCTTTGCTGCAAAATTCTAAACTAGAAAAAAACAAAGAAAATAGGATATACTTATGAATCATCTGTTAATGTAATTAAAAGTATTTTTAAAAAGTTATATTTACGTTTTAATTTTATGTCAATCTATCTTATACAGTCATGAATAAAATTAAAGTTTAATTATTATTTAATAAAATTAATTAATTATTTAATAAATTCAAAAAAAATAAGTTTGTTATGTTAACTCATTTGAAATTGATTAAACATTTCATAAAATTTTATAATTTAAATAAATTTATAATTTTAATTTAAAATTTAAATTTAATAACTTTAAATATGAAAAGTTGAATTTATTGTAAATTTTCTAGTTGAAATAGAAAATAAATTATAGTGCGCCACATAAAAATAATTTGTTCATTGTCATGCAATTTTTCATGAATCTTTACAAAAATAATTCTGCAATTTATTATTTGACTGTAAAAAATTATACTTTAAGAAAGAATTATTTAGGAAAGAAAAACTATTCATTGATGAATTTTATTAAGTCTTTTTTGCAAAATTATTAAGATTTTATTTACTATATATATATATATGTATTTATTTACTATATAATGTCATTAGCATTACCATTTTTCAAGGATTGGAAAAAGAAAAAAGGAAAAAAAAAAAACATGCCACAATGAGAGGACTCTAATTTCTGATACTGATGATTCATTATTTTTAAAGCGTTTTATATAATTTATGCAAATTATATTATTCATAATATATTAAATTATTTATAATTTTTATAATTATAAAAATATTCATAATTTATCATGCATTATTATACATTTCCTTTGTAATTATTGATAAAATTTAATAATAAAATAAAAATTTCTGATATTATAACTGCAAATAGATTGCAAATAATTTGCATTTAAATAAATTTTAAATATTTATCTCCATAAAAAGGAAAAATTATTTTCTAAATTGAAAAAGTTTACTCTTTTTAATTAAAATTTTTTATGTAGCATTTTGAAAATGTCAGCATAATAATAGAATATAATAATATATAATAGATAAACAATTTTTTCAATATCTGAAATTTTTAGAACAAAATAAATTAATCTATTTTTCTATAAAATTCGTAAGATTTTTTTTTACTTAAAAAATAAAATGTACATAGAATTGAAGAATATGTATCATAATACATATTTGAAAATGATCGCTAAATAAATTATCTTATTTTTTAGAACAGTATTCCTTTAGAAGGAATACTATTCTAAATTTATTTTAAAATCGAAATCAGAGTCCTTTCTTTGTCACTGTATCGAAATATTTGATAAATAATATTTCGTGTATTTACATGTTAATTGCGATCTATAAATTAATTAACTAACATTAACATTTCTGTTTATTCTATACATGAAAGATAACAAATATTTGCTTAAAATTCATTGATTCATTCAAAAATCAAAAATTATTATTACAGTTTTCGACCGAATCAATAAAATAATTTTTCATTAATATATCTCATTACATATCACATTTTATAATCTAATATATTATTATATCTAAAAATTATGCAATAAATATTAATTTATTTTGTATAAGTATACAATTTTTACAAAAAAAGAAAAAATATATTTAAATTCATTTTAACTTATTAGATAGATATTTTCGATAAAATAGGTTATGATATTGGAAATAATATGAAAATTATTTTCAAAAACAAATTCAATTCCAATACAAAAATAAACAAAAATTTTATAGTATAAATTCGAAAAAAACATAAAAACTATTTTTTAATTTATTTCGAATTATTATTAAGATGTAAAATAAAAAGATTATCTTTAACAAGAATTTGTTAAAAATATATATAAAATATGTATATACTATAAAAAAAAAAGCAATTACCATTCTCCAAAATATGCGTATGTTAACGATTTAGATGATTTTTTTTTCTATATAACTTTTTTTCTCAATTTTAATCCATCTTGTTTCGAAAGTAAAGAAGCGATTTGAGTTTGATCTAGACTTCATTATAGATATTTTTTCTTCGGCCACCTGACAAACCTCCTTTTATGTCATTCTCTCTCCAAATAACGGATGTCACTGACCTAAATTTGGAAGGAACCCGTTATATCGAGAGTATAAATTTTGATTCCTGGAAATTGTCTCACTAGAACACGGTTGAAACTCGAATCATAACTGCAGCTGCTCCTTCAATATTTAGTATTTATGTTCTTATTACAAACTTCGTTCCACTTTTTTTTTTAATGAATTCCATTTTCCTTTTTTCTATTTTTTTCTTTTTTTTCTCATTATTTCATAAACACTTTTTTTCTTTTTTATCATTAAATGATGTATTGTATATTCAGTTACCATTTTATCAACAAGACGAATCAATAATTCTTTAAAAAAATTAAACTTTCTGTTTCGCATAAGCTTTTCGATAAAAGTCACTGAATAAATAGATGAAGATCACTAAGTTGGTCAAAACAAAACACGACAAAGCTTTTGGCACTTTGCAACCCAAAACGAGAATTGTCAATTCGTAAGCGAGTAATATGAAAAATTGCACCTGGCATGAAAAATATATGCTTAATATGAGCATTAATTTTAAAAAATAAAATATGGTTATTCAAAGAAGATTTTACCAGTTGAATCCAGGTCATGTATTTCTTCCACCAAAGATATTTTTTGTATTTAGGACCCAAAGCGGAGATCAAATAATACGTATACATGATGACGTGTACCAAAGAATTTAAGAAAATGATCACAGCACCTTGTTGGCCTGGCAGAAATTTGACATACAACCATGAGCATATTGAGGTTATTGTGTGGTGGTAAACATGTAGAAATGTCACTTGATTCTGTTTTTTTCGAAGTATGAAGAAAACCTTCGAACAAACAAGAACAGAAATTATACTGTGAATTGGTGAGAAAATAATATCAGTTTTGTGAATACGATTTAATTTGTTATAATATAATATATTATATTCATTAAGATGTTTCATATAGAATATTATAGGTTATTTTTTATAGGAATCACTACAGAATCAATTTGAATTTTTTACATATTAATGATCAAATAAATTTTCATATGTTGTAATGAGATTTTAAGAATGAATTTTCTAAAAAAAAGAGAATAGTTTCATTTTTTTAAACAGAATAGTATATTAATCATTTATTATCTAAATAACTGCTACTAAAATTAATTAATAGTTATTTGAAATAAGATTAATAAGATATGGAGAAAACAATTTCTATTGCATTTATGATGTTTTGAATGATTCTTTTTATTTTTTTTTTTCTGTATTGTCTTATATTAAGTATTCTTTGCTATAATTTTACTAACTAGATATGTAAAATAAAAAGATGTTTCGATAATAAAAAATTAAACAGTTATCTCAATAAACGAAAAATTATTGATAAGTAATATAAAATTTTAATTAAAAAAAACAAAGCTATTTATTAATATTCCCAGAAAATTCACTTAAAATTTTTTATGATCTAAAATATTATACAAGAATGAATTATTGTTTAATTAATTTACAATAATATATATATATATATATATATATATATATATTCATCTTTCATTCGAAATTAAAAGTAGAAATAATTTTTCTAACAATTCTATTTCATATCTAATTAATTCTGTGTTGAACTTACCGTGTCAAGAAGATCCATTATTTTTGCGATGAAATACCACCAGGCAGCTGACGATATCTATTTTACATAAAATGTATTTCATGAAATTCATTTGATTGTTTCGTATTTTTCTATAAACTTACCGTGTTTTTCGTATTTAAATTCAGAGATGTTGGATTTTGGCATTTAGGTAATAATAAAATTGATACCACACTGGGTTCTAATGCCTGTTTAAAGACAGATAAATAATTATCTAAGTAGATGAAATTATTAAATTATAGATATAATATATGTCATAAAAATATAGCTATCTCATATCTGAAAAAATTAATTATTTTTATAAACAAATTTATTATAATATGAAAATCTACGATTAATTAACTACAGGCAATCTAAAAATCCTAATAATTAATTATTCATTATTTATTTATTATTTATTACATATATATTATATTATGAATAGTAATACATTTTTGTTTTTTGAATATATGACTTATTTCATTAACTATATAAAATCAATCGATAAGAATTAATTGTGAATTAATTTGATGATAATTTCAAACAACTTCTTTTTCTAATTATTTTTTTAGCTAATAATTATTTTTAACTAATAATTTTATTTAATAAATTGATAAATTGATAAATAAAGTATAATTTTTTCTTATTATTTAGCATATAAAATACTTTTATATTACACTAATTAAATCATTATATAAATCTAATATTGCTTAAATATATATTTCGATTTTTTTGTTCAAGCTTAGCGATTCGCTGGTATTTTATTGATCAGTATATTTTATTTTTAATATCTCGTTAATAATAAAGCTAAAATAAAAATTTTTGTAAAGAAAAAAGTTGTTTGAGATTATTCTAAAAATTAATTAATTAGACATTGTCGATCGATTTTTCTATGAAAATAATATTTTAATAATTGTGTATTTAATAATGTTTCTAATGCAAAAAGAAAAAATGTTTAAGATATATGCTTTATTTCATTATTTATTTTGAGTTTTTTTATATTCTATTAAAAGTTTTCTTATGATTTCTTTGATAAATTTTTCATAGATATATTATTCATCAAAAATATCACATATAAAGATTTTAATGTTATCAGATTTAAATTTTCAATCTTAAAATTTTTCTCGGACTTTATGGAATTAGTATGAAATATAAATTCTAAGGAAAATATATATTGATGCGGAAAATCTTTATTTGATTTTATATCTGTAAAATATCGAGATCTTTTCTTGAAAATTGAAAATTGTCCCAGATGTTATCAACTAATAATAATGAAAAATCCATTAATAATAAATGAAAATCTATTTTTAATTAATTTTATAATGAGCATTTATTTCTAATTAATTTTATATTAGATTTTTAAATTAAATATATTTTTAAATTGTATAAAACTTTTTGAAAAAGAATTAATTTGTTACAGAAATATAACATCTCTTACAATTTTGCATATAATTGTATTCAAATGTCATATTTTTTTATAGTAAATGAACATATGTATGAATTTTAATAAATTTTGATTTTACGATTCAAAAAAATGGAATTCATTTAGCTTATTAATTAAATTTAATAAAAGAATAATAACTAAACAAAATACACACTGTATCATAAATCATTGTAATAAATCTATTATTTTAATGAGTATTACTTTGAGTGATAACCAGATATTGAATATCACTTGGATCACGTTGTAAGCGAGTAACAAGAAATTCAATTGAAAAGGGGACCTCTTCTCCATCATTTTCGGTCCAACTTTCAAAACGAATGCTAGATAGCAGCCTACGATGCATAATATAGGACCTGGGGAATACATCATGGGCCATGTATCTATTATGATTTCTGAAAAAATGATTATATGATTAAATTGATAATTTATATTATATTTTTTTCTTTTTAATTCAATTATTTGCATCGATATTTATGTAAAATGTTTTTGTTTTATATTTTTTTTTATTTATGCATAAATACATAATTTATTTTTTATTCGAAGAATATATATTTGTTTTGTTAAAGAAATGATTTATATTAATTAGAATGAATGAAATTAAATATTTTAAGTAATTTCTCATTAAAAAAATTATTAATATTTAATTAATTATATTAATATCTAAAATCTAATATCTAAATATCTAATATCATAGAATAATAAAAATTTTTTCTATTGATACAGCAAGTTGTTAAATATCTTATTTAAATTGTTGATTCTGCAAATTTGTTTTAAAAATATATATATGTATAATTAATCTTGAAAAATAATGAAATATAATAATCAAATATAATAAATGTATATTTATGTATAATTATGTAATATAATATATAATTTGTTGTAATGTTTATACAGCATATTAATATATTCATAAAATTTTTATGGTGAATCTATTCTAATAAATCTATTTTAATATTCTATTCTATTAAAAACAAACACAAAAGTTGATATACAAATTAATTATTAAGTTATTTATAAGCAAGTAAATTTTGCATTAGATGGAGCGAGACATATAAATTGAGATAATAGTATGGTAAAGATAGAGCTGTTTCATTTTTTCCGTCTTTCTTTATCTAGCGTCATTTAAATTGTTTTTAATTTAATAAATAAATATCAATTCATATTTTTATATATCAACTTTTACGTTTGTTTTGACCAATAGAATCGATCTTCTTAAAATATTTTATAAATATATAATATCCAGTATAATAATTTTATTATACACATTTTATTATATTTTATTATATACATATATATATATAAGCTACAGAACTGAAAAAAATTTGAAATAGTTAAAACAAATAGAAACAATAGTTGAACATTAAAAATTTAAATATTTTCATAACCAAATACTTATATTTTTTTTAAATAAATTTTTTAATTTTTTATTTCAGTATTGTCTTAAAATATTCTAGAACTATTTATTTTACTTTTCACTAAAATTTCATTTGAAGTAATAGAATATAATACATTTATTTGCATGAAGAATATATTCGTCAAACATTTAATAAATTTATGTTATTTTCCTGCTAGTTAATGTATATTATTTTTATTATTTTACCTTTATTATTTTTATTATTAGTATCCAAAAGCTCATTGCAGTTGTTGACCATTTGATGAATCAAATTCGACATATTTGCTGATTTTTGCTTCTTTTAAACTGAAACAAGCAAAATTTATTTCTTGAAATAAGGAAAATTTAAAATTATAGAAAATTAAAAATTTAATCTATTAGCATTCAGAAAATAAAATAATGAAATTTTTAAATGTATGATTATTTATTATTTATTATTTATTTTAAATAATAAATAATAAATAAAATATAGGAATAAATATAAATGCTGTCAAAACAATTTTTGAACAGTAATTTTCTCATAATAGAATATTTTCTTTATATTATTTTGAAGTTTATTATTATAAAGAATATCATTATACAAAAAGTCCATTAAACAAAATAGAAACGTAAGAAACATAATTTACCAAAATCTACTTTAATGTTAGTTTAAATAAATAATTTAAATTTTTAGAATTTTGGAACATGGTTATTTTTGTTTAAAAAAAGAAATGAAAATGGAAAGAGTATTGATCAAATTTTTAAAATTTAGAATTCTTTCATTTTAATTATTATAATATTAAAAAATATACTACATTTATATGTATCAATAAAAAAAAAGAAAAAAAAATTATGAATTAAATGTTGTGTTAATATAATATTGACTCTTAATGGGTTAAGTGAATTAAAAACATTATTAACTTAAACAACTTCCTTCACACATAAAATGTCATATTTATAAATCCACGGAATGAAAACTTATTAAATGAATCGAACTTCACACATTTCACATAAATATAAATATTTAATAATCAATATTCACCTTAAATCTTTGTAATTCGTATCAAGCAGTTTCGATAGGATGAATCAAAATCTTTCTATTTTCGTTTTAAAATAGCGCGGTTAAGTCATTTAACGTCCGGTTTCTTTTTCGATACGAATATATAAAATTAAGATTTATTTTTATAAAAGAGAAATGTCCACTCGAGAGAAGAGATGTTGTACGAGAAGCAGCAAATCAAAAACTGATGATCCGCCGATACAAGTAGCACCAAAACTCAATCTTTCAATCTCCCACCATGAACTTTAAATTCCTTGTAAAATTGAGACTTCCGCCGATTGATGGAAAGAACAGGTTGGAAGGAAGAGAAGGGATGAGACTAGGTCGTGAGAAAAGAAAAAAAATGTAATATAAATGTTAATAAGAGTTTTAATATACTGTTAATCATATATCTTTGATAAATTGTATAAAAAAAATTACTAATTTTCTAGAATAATATTTTTTAACCTATTTTGCATGATACAGTTATTATTATTTAACCCAGTTATTATTATTATGTTATAGTTTAGATAATTAAATTATGTATTATAATTTTTTTGGAATAAGATATTTATTCCAAAAAGATTATTATTTCAATTTATTAATACAAATATATTAATATAGATAATCCAATTAATAACGATAGAAATAATAAATAGTTTTAATCGATTTAATATTGAACAACTTAATATTGAATATTTTATGTTTATTAAAATGTTAATAAATATTATGTTTATTAAATGTTAATAAAATGTTAAAAAATGTTAATAAAATGTTAATAAAAATTATAGGAATTTCAATTTAATTGATAATAAATCAGAAATATAAAGTATTCTATGACGTAATATAAACATATATATGATGTATATAATTCTATATAGTTCCATATAAATAAAATGATTTATTTATATTTCTAATATATTTTTAATAATGTTATTATTATTTTATAATATAAATTTCATTTAATGCTAATAAATATATAAGTTTGTAATTAATAATGATTTATTATATAATTATATTATTTATATAATATTAATAAATTTATTAATATTTATATTTTTTACAATATTTATATTATTTTATAATATAAATAAAATAGATAACTAATAAACATATAAAATATATAAGTAATTTAGTAATAATATTATTATTTAATATTTTTGTATATTTTGTAATTATTAATAATAATTTTTGTATCTTTAATAAAATTTTATTAAAATTTTTATTGATGCATTGATATATTGAAATATGTAATATATTAGAAAACATTTTGTGAAAAATCATAATAAAATAAATATTTGTATCAAATTAAAAGATGATTATCTATTCAAATTATCTACTCAAATTATCTGTTATTGATTCTTTGTATTTTTCTTTTAACAATAAAATATAACGATATAAATTATAATAAATTTAAAAAAAATTTTAAAATAATAAATTAGTTCTAATTTTATAATTTTCTAATTTTAAAATAGATATAATAATTACAATATAATATATATATTATATAGATATAATATATTACAATATAATATATAATTCTAATATTATATATATATATTATATTAATATGTAGACAATGTAGATAGTTATAAGCAATGATAAGTATTTGTGCAAAATTTGTAAATGGGATTAACAACGGGTCATTCTTTTTAGAAAAGACGAAAGTAAAGGTTATACAAATATGATCTGTTTGCTATATGTCTATTTGTCATATTATCGTCGAACGAATTGTTTTGCCGGAATAAAGAAACGTGGATCGACAGAGAATCTTAGAAAAAAAAAATTTTGCATGTGAGAATATGTTTTTGTTCTTTTTAAGTTTTTTATAAACGTGATGAATCAAGTAATCCATGGATAAATATTTTAATTTAATCCAATATTTGCATCGAATTCTTATCACTTCATATGGTTAGCAAATAGATAATTTGATCTTGGAGGTTAGGTTTGTATTGTGTTAATTATACTATTATCGTTGTATTTTATGATATAGACACTTTAAAATATAAATATAATATAATATATCATAAATTATATAAATATTTAAAAGAATAAAGAGAATAAGGCAATTGGTATAACAATTCCAAAAATTTTTTATTTTTTTGCAAAATTACACTATCAAAAGTTTAAAATCATTAACTTGTTTTACATACAACAAAATTAAACTATTTAAAAAATAAGTTTTTATAAATAAGGATAAATAAGGATTTCATTATTTTGGAAAATTATTTTGTTAAAAATTTGTCAAAGTAAATGTATTATAATACATAAATATATAATATTAATTTCAAATTAATTTAAAATTAAAAAAAGAAATAGGAATTCAATATGAAAAGAAAAAAAATATAATTTCAAATTTTTAATTAGTAATATATTTTGACTTATATTAATATATTTCCAGGATTTTTATATTTTACTAACTATAACAACTAAATATAACAATATATCTATATATCTATATATCTATATATATCTATATATATATTATAATTCAAAACATTTTATAATTTTTTGTATTTGATGTTTTTTATATATTTTTTTTCATAATAATGATTATAATATAATCAATGGTATAATTATAATAATTTAAAAAATTATCTATTTCTTTGCTAAAATATGTTTGACAATTTAACTTCCAGCTAAATTTCTTTTCTTTTAAAGTTTATAATATATATATATATATAGTTTATAATTTATATATATAT